GCTCACAAATGAAAATCCAATATTGTTTTTTTTTATCTTTTATTCACCATTTTATACTCCAGTCATCCAGACTATGCCATGTTCCAGGTATTGAATGACATTACACTTTAAAAAATTTGGCTGCTGCCGATGAACTCATTTTATTTACAAAATATATTTTAAGGTAGAAATTAAATTAAGTTCAAATGATTTTATCATGCAATTTTGATCAAGAATTTATCGGAAGTTTTTCAATATTAATATCCTTGTGGATCCTTCAAAAATAAAAAATGTCAATTGATAAATAAAAATACTTTTCGAACATACATAAATTGGTGATTATTAATCAGAAATATTATTATTAATAAATTTGATGTTATTCATCGTAGCCATCGGATACCAAAGAATGAATGTGACCATCAAATGAACCAATGCAGCCAGATACATTCAATGTCGAAAGAAATCGGCTAAAAAGAAAAAAACAAAGAAAAATTAAATTTTTTAAAAAAAAGATAAACAATAAAAGCTTATCTAGCCGAGAAAGAAAAAAAAATCCTATCTATCATATCAGATCTATCCGAAAAAAAACGAAATTACCAACGGCACAAAATCAAAAAATAAAATAAAACGACGCCTTATTCTTCTTTAAATTTTACAGTTTGTTTTTGTGCAAAACAATATAAAAGATATAAATCAAATTCTCATATGCATGTGCATTTTCAATGTCCCAAGCATTTTGAAATTTCAATGTTCCAAACCACCCATGAAAACACTGTTATGTATGCAAAAGAATTTTTTTCAACCATGACAGAGAAAAATAATTTTTTTTTTGACTCTTCCTTCAAAGTATGTAAATGTGTATGGAACGTCAAAAATGTCTAAACCTTATTTAGCAACTATTAGAAAATTATTTAGAACTTTAATATTATCGCCATTGCCAAATAATATCTGTGCTCTAAATAAACACAAGGAAAAAAGTTGATGTATTATTAGAAGTTTCAGTTTAAAGTTGGAAAATAATTTCTTGATTTGTAATTAATAGATTTCAAGCATCGCGGAGTTTAATGATGTGAAGAGTCACTCCAAATCAATTCATACTTTACATAAATACATTATCATATTGAATAGTTAATAAATAAAGGAGATAATAATTTTGTTATACTCCAGTCTGAATAATTATTCCAATTTAAAGAGCCTACATCAAAAGTGGTTTCGTAATTGGGTTTCGATACTTATAAATCCGGTGCAGGTGTATCATGCATTGTAATGATGTTTAGAATTAATTCTCCATTCCAACTTTAATGAAATTTTATTATTATTTTGCTTTTTTATTTATGTATTTGGTCACTTATTCATCGCATCGAAGTAAGAAAAAAAAATAGCTAATAAAAAACTTAATTGTAAAAATTTTTAAGATAAACTCGAACGAACATTTTCCTAACATAGTCATTGTTCTGTCAAAATATTACCAAAGATGTAATAGTTATTTACGGGGAACTGTTAAGAATGTTTAAGAAAATATAAATAAAAATATTCAACTACGCATCAATAAAATAAAATTGTCACAGCGGAAATGTCACATGACTTATCGATCATTAGTTTGTGTTAATATCGAAACTAAAATTTAAAAACTCATGCATTAAAAAATTTTTTAACTTTGATACTTTATGTGTTATGCAAATTTCGATTATATTCTATATTTCCCTCATTTGTTTTTTGGATATCTAGAAATTTCTCTAATATATTTTGAAATTTATTCAGATCTTCTTTCAAGATAAAATTCATAACCAAATATGGGAGCTTGTCAATAGAAAAGGAGGAAATCTAAAAAAAATTAAAATTTTACTTCATATGTTAAATATGATTTTTTTAGTAAAACAAGTCCAGATTTAACTTTAACTCATAAAAACATTTTTTTTAGATTTCCCCCCTTCTATTTACAAGCTCCCATATATGGGTGGCTTCGTCTAAGATAATTTCTTCTTCCTGATTTGAAACTAGATGATTGGGAACCTTTGACTGAAACACCATTCTTAAGGTTGCATGTGAAGTATCTCGAGTAGTATCATATATATTTCCAAAAGATAATATTTTTTATTTGAGATCTATGTTATCTATAATTGCAAGATTCAATATTTAATTCTCATCAGCTATTTCTGATGAATCTCACATACCATTTCAAGAAATTAAAGATTTGCAAAATAAACAATTGGATGAAGACTCTATATAAAAATTCATACAAGGGAATACTTTTAATAATTGTAATATTACTTTTAATATGAAAAAATAAAATATGTTTTTTTTTTAATATTGTAATATCACTAATACGATAAATAATATAAATAGTTTGTCTTATATTTTAAACTTTAGCATAAAAAATATCTAAAATTATAGTTATGATATGATCATATATAACCGTACAATAATAATAATTATACGATTGTTGTTTATTTATAGCTTAATATAAAATATTAGCACGTACGTTTAAAAAATATGGATTATTAATTGAACTAATCTTACGTAATCTTACATCATTTTATAAACCAACTATTTTGCATACTTTTTCTCATACATATACAAAAAAATTGTGTTCAAATTCCAAACAACTTTTCTACCTTCTTTCATATTTTTGATAAGGTATTTGTTGTATAAGTAGATTTTTTTATTCTGGTTACGGGCTTAACAATATTCGCTTCGCGAAATCCCAGTATCATATCGTATTGATATGTTTACGAAGTTGTTTCTTTAATATATTGACTCTTAAGATCTGCCTCTTAATTGTCCTAAGCACAAATTCCTTACTCGTTCGAAAATACTTGGATAAAATCAAAAAAAAATTTTACTTATTGTTTATCATTCATTGTAATGGCACTAGAAAGGACAGGACATTCTTGCTTGGTGTGAATTTTAAAAAAATTTGAGGAGGAGGCTGAAATTTTCGATGACCGCATTTGTGAGTTGCGAGCAAATAACACTTTTAACATTGCACTCAATCAAGTTGGCGATTTTATATCTCTTAAAGAGTATGGCAACATAGTTACAGAGCTTAAGGATGACTTTAAGTAATGTCCTTCAAATTAAGGCTGGAAGAAATGCGTCATATTGCAGACCTTAACCTAGAAATTTTTGATATAATTGACGTTGGTAAAGAAGAACTTAAGCCAAACAAATTATTGAGGAAATTCGAGAAAAATTATTTATGGTTTTACTGAATTGCTTTTAGAAGATTTGGTGGATTTTAGAATTAAATCAAGAATCGCTTCAATTACCTAAAGTCACTTTTCTTATGGAATCTAAATTCAAAGTCTTTGATATTATCAAAACAATACTACTCCCATAATAAAACTACCCCAAAATAAACTTTGAAATACCACACCGTAAAAAATTCGCAATAAAACATACTAAATAATTTCCTGATTTTGTAGTATATATTGTTATTCAATATAATATTTAATAATCAAAGTTTTGCTTATCGTAATCTTACATTTACATTTGACTATAATGTGTTATATTTTAGATATTTTTTATTAAAGTTTATATCAGATAAACTATTTATATTATTTATCCTATTTATTATACTAAAATTAATATTTACAATAATTGATTCAAATTAAACAATTAATTATTTAAGTATTACCTTGTAAGAATGTTTTAATAGTCTTCATCCAATTGAAAATTTTGTGAATCTTTAATTTCTTGAAATGGTATACGAGGTTCTTCTAAAATTGATGCTGGCGAGTTGGTATTTTCTAATGTATTAAATAATATAATAATTTTAATATACTGAATTTTTAAATTTATAATTCAACTTGAAACCTACTTCAGCTGATATTTCAAGGCTTCGAAAAACAAAATTTTTTCAAAAGCTGTCTCAGGATTCAATACAAACACTGCCTCTGAATTATCGAAAATTACGATCTGCTTCGTGTCATTCCTTCAAACTTTACAACTTTAGAGTGAATTTCTGAATTTTCATATGCTCATATGGCTTTCCTTTTCAGGCTGTCCTTACAACATATATCCTTCTTTGGCTCCGGATATTGTTTTTGACAAGGTAATGCAACTTTCCCATGTTCATCATCTGATGACTCTGATGACGAAACTTAAATACGTCGAAATGTTGGGAACTCATCTGGGATACCATTAAATTCGAAATTTATTCACGAAGTTTTTCTGGTGATATGGATCAAAAATCTTCTTGATGCTTAGAAAAAAAAGCGTATTCCTATAAGTATACATTCAGTGCAGACGAGAATAAAGCAATGTCTATAAAGCCAAACCAAATGAGGCATATAAAAACAAATTGTTTTATGATAGAGCCTAGTTTGATAATATAACTGAACGATAAATTCTGCGCTAAGCCATCTTGAATAATTTCTTCTCACATATTTTATGAAATTATTTATTACATATTCCAAATGATTTCACATACTCATACACATTCGCAAAGCAAATAAAAAAAAATAAGTCCCAAATTATATGCAGAACTTTATTAAATCGTTTTACAAAAAAAAAAAGTTACCATATTCTCCTAAATTGATGGCCGAGACTGGACAAGCTTGTCCGAACACATCAAACCTTATGTGTTAAGATTTCAGCCATTACATATTTGATTTCATCTCCAGTTAGATTTAAGATGAATGATGGGGGGATAGTTCTAATCCGAACTATTTTTTCTTTACCAATGCTATTAAAAAGCTTATAAACCTTTTCGGATCTCTCTGTCCTTTTTCGCAAAGCTTCATCAGAGAATTTTGTCTCGGGAATCGCCACCTTAACCTCACTTTTGACTAATGCTTACATAACGCTTTTATAGGGATATTTGGCTCGGTTAAAAAAAAGTGTAGTGATACCGATGTGAAATAAAAATATATGATCTATGTCACACAAGTATGTCGAGTGATGCTGTGACCCGCTTTCTCATAATTATTTATTTTTGTTGCATAATAAAGCTATTACATTAATTTATTTTATTACTACGTTACATTTCTAAGCTAATAATGCATTAAAGTGAAGAAGAGTTATCTGTTTGTTACTCGAAAAAATCCCTCAAGTCTAAGAATTTCTTTATAATTTTGCCAAAGAAAACCTAAAGCTATTTCAGCTGATATGGGTGCATTTTCTTTCATCAATTCCATTGCGTACTTTCTTAACGTTTCATTGATTGGAAGTTTCACATGAGCCGTCATGATTAAATATCCTATGGACCACATATCAACGCTTGTATCGTGAAAATCTTTAAAAATTTCCGGAGAATGATTGGATCTATCTAAGTGTCGAATGCCAGGCGCAGGATATTCGGATGCATCTTCGAAATCGATGATAAACCAAGCGTTACGATCGATATATTTCAATACGTTTTCCCATCGGATATCCTGATGAATATACCCTATTTCGTGAAGAACCTGGGAATGGGATGTTTATGTTTATGTATATGTATATGTAATCGAAAAAAAAAACAAAACAATAAATAATCGAAGAAATATTTATACCTTTAGAGCCGATAAAACACAATACAAAGCAATTACCAGTTGCTTCATCGAACTTGGTCTGTGTATCAACCCCTTTGGCGAAAAAATAATATTTGGCAACTTTTCATTATCTCCCTTGTTCATTTGAACTATGTGATCAACATAAGGAACTTGTCTATCATCCATCATACGATAAATTTTCTCAAGTTTCGCAGGAAAATCTGCTTTACTAGTGTAACGTTTCACCACCACATTTTGCATTAGTTCAATTATCTTTTGAGAATTTGGTCGATGAATTATATAAAATTCTTTGTGAAAAGAATCGCCAAGGCCTTTACGAATAAGGGGTAATAATCGACCAATGTTTCTTCCGATTACGAAAGCATTCATACGCCCAATTAATGTTTTAAGATTGCAAGTGATTAAATCTTTCCGATATACTTGATTATCTTCATTGTATAAATAACAGTAAGTTACATCAAAGCCACGAGCATAGTAACCGAATATATAGGGGCAAGATCCGTACGTCCATATTAACTTTGATGTCAATTCCTCTGCTGGATCGTTATCAGTGTTTGGACCTTTTTCTTCTCCTCTTGCGAGACAGGCACCATCCAACGTATATGAAAAGTCAGGACGTAGCTTTTTTGTAGATGTATTAGAAGACGAATTTCGATTATATTTTCCGTTAGGGCATGCTATATTAATGGGTTTTATGATGAGCGCATCCCAAAATGAGTGAAAAGAATCTTCGGTATTGCCAGTTGTGGGTGGGTTAATTATAGCGATGATATCACTCATCACTCGAAAGGAGAACTCATCTGAACTTCTAAAAAATTTATTCGAATCTTGCAAAGAAAGGTTTGGTCGAATGTAAATTTCATATATCATCTTGGGAATTTCAATCGGTTGGGAAAATGGTTCTTGAAGCCAGCCTAGCAATTCAAAACTGCTTGGGATTCGATCTGGCTCTGTCTCAAACATTTTATGAGTCGAAAAATATAACAGATTCTCTGTGTTGGAGACAAGATTAAAGGTATAAGTACAAGAAATATATCTTTTATTTATGTATGCACAACTTACCAGTCTTGCGACTGTTTTCAAGTTTTACAACGGGATCTATATAGCAAGCGTCGATATAATAAAAGTTACATCTTTCACGTTCGAGTTGACCAATCATTACGACGCAACGGCTTACCTTGATGTTCATCTAAATTGGGTTAGGAGACCAAAAAAGGCAAAGTTAGTTACTGGACAGGAAGCGTCATGACCAATCACTATGGCGCAAAGTCTTACGTCTTGATTCGACATATCCCCTCAAGTAGTCAACTTTTTCTTTATCTTCTGTGATTGTTGAGAGAATTTTTTCCACATTAGTTGCGTCTTGATCGGTAAAAAAAATGCGTAGCTTAGTTTTTTCATCACTATTAAAAGGAAGATTGTAAATTTCCGTAAAGATAGGACTTATATTATTAGACATTTTTTTTATTTTGTAATTTAAGAAATAAATGTTTAAAAAAAGACTTTTAAAGAAAAAACAATTTTCTGAAGAGGTTTATTAGAATTATTGTCTATATATATATATGATTCGGAATAAACTTTTATTAAACTTTAAGTTTGAATAAACTTTGTTAAACTTTATTGATTATTAGTTGAGAACGCGTTTTGTAAGTCCGAACTCAATATCGTATCATCAGCTGATAAAATATACTTATTAATTTAGACAGACATCTAACCCTAACTAATATCATTAAAAAATCGAGTCATATTTTGATTTTACATATATAAATCATTTTATTTGCTCTCATATTTCGAAAAATATTTATTGCTAATTTGTTTCTATCACTAACTAAAATATTCACATCTCTATACTCTTTTATCACACGAAATAAATTATCCTGCCTATATATACGAAATTTTTGTCTATCTATATCTCTCTCACTCACAATATAAAGTAGAACTTTCGCAATATTAAGTCATTTCGAACTTACTGCATAATTACGGGGTATTAACAACTGAAAAAATAAGCAACGCAAACATACATGTACTTCCGATTTATACTCACCACTACGATTCATTTTAATAACATTCCATTCCACCTCATATACAAGGAAATGAAGAAATTGTTTGCCTAATTTTTCCAGCGTTATCGCCAGTATGATACTGCGCAAAGTTTCAAGAATTCAGCACGTAAAGATGCTTAAATTATTTGATATACGCGCCAGCATGGTCACATAATATAAGATGCCCGGCTGAAATTACAGTCATGCGATTTTTTGATTACTGCGCCGATGAGGCACTTGCTGGTGATCACGATTTTCTTGACGAATATTAAAAAGATCAGAAATGGCAATATGTCCGCTTTGACTTTGAGCATCTATATATAGAGCCGGAAAAATTGATTAACATAGTGATGATGTTCATCTAGAAGCCAGCTGAGCAATGAAACAACCTTCCTTATTATAATTTTGCGGAAACTGAGAGTTCGTTTGATTGTTGATTTAATAATGGTAAGTTTTATTTTTGATTTTTTTGTTTGATTTTTTGCATTTACTTGCGCGAGGCAGATAAAGGGTTTCATTAACTGAGACATTAGCCTTTCGAAGGGTACTTTTGAATAGTATTTAACCTTTTTTCTTTATTTTTTCTTTACTTTCTTTAGGAATACATTAAGGTAAATCTTTTAGATGTGATATTTTAGATGGGTTATAACTGATTTTCTTTATTTTTTATTTTTTTTTTTTTTTTTAGGAAACATTAAGGTAAGTAAATTAGAAATGGTTTTTAGTGATTGTTTAACTATTCTTTATTTTTCTTTACTTTTTTTAGGAATACATTAAAATAAGCCTTTCTTTCAGAAGTAATATTTTTGTGGTTTTCTATTTCTTTATTTTTTTCTTTACTTTTTTTAGGAATACATTAAGATAAGCTTTCAAAGGTGATATTTTGGTGGTTTTCTAACTGTTTTCTTTTTTTTATTTATTTTCTTTAGAAATACATCAATATCATGGATGATGTCGTCAATCAAGTCTTTGATAAAAGAAAAAGAAGATTTAGATTTGATTAAAAAGATTTTTGTCACGTAAGGGATGGAAGTAAATTTTCATGCTAACAATATAAAAATTACAACCTTTGATCGTTACTATAAATAAAAGGATTTAAATCAAAAGTAAGTTAGTTATCTTTTTAAAAATATTCTTAATATTTTAATAAATTAAAATTTATTGATTTATTTTTTATTAAATGTACAATGGGATATCAAAAGTTACTAGACAATTAAAAATTAAAAAATCGATGGAAATATGTTCTTCAAAATAAAGTTTTCATTTTATTATTTAAATTACTTTTAGTAAAATTAGTAAATTTATACATTATAATGAATTACATATTTCTTGAAAGTTTTATAAATTTCTGATGAGTTATTTAATTTATATTATATATTTAATGCAAATTTTTTGTGTTTTAATACAAAATTTTAGATATAAATTAACATGAAATGTTTTGGTTGTAGTCTAATTTTGTTATTAAGTAAACTTGTTCAACATATTAAAAATATATATTCGCAAAATTTTAGATTAATTACATTTATACTTGTGAAGATTGACTCGATACAGTAAAGGAAGTTATAAGTCATATGAGATGGCAATAATTTATTGACAACTAACTACATTTTATCAAGATAATTTCCACAAGTATAAGTGTAATTAATCTAAAATTATGCACAAATCTATTTTATAATACGCTGAACAAGTTTACTTAATGAAAAAATTAGATTATAACTAAAGAATTAATTCTATGTTAATTTATAACCATAATTTTGTATTAATACATGAAAATGTTACATTAAATGTATAATATATCTTTTATGGCTCATCGGATATTTATAAATTATCTCATCGGTATCATGAATACACCGGTGGAATTTCTTATCACTTACTCCACTGGTTTTTATTTATTATCATTGATGTAATTATAAAAGGAAAATTTAATTTAAAACTTGCTTATTTAAATATCAGTTTATTAACATATTTAACTGTACTATGAATATTTAACTTTAAAATTCTGATTATTCACTCGGGATTTAGTGTTGAAACGTTAAATCTTATAGCTTTTTGTTAATTAAAAAAAAAATATATGTAAAAATAATCTATATACGCATTAAAATAAAAGTTAAAGTTCTTGTAGTTGATGTATTTCTTTATTGTAAATATAGGAAACATAATTGGCTTCTTGTTCTTCATTCTGCTTGGAATTCTTGAACACTATCCATCTGATTTAGTTTTAAATTGCTTCTTCTACAAGACAATATAATAAAAATTAATTTTGTAAGATAGCAATAAAGGCATGAATTAGCGTGAAAGAAAAGAATAATAATTCCAACGGTGTATACGTCTTATACACGACGCACAACTTTACTTATTTACTAAAGCGATTTAAATAATAAAATAAAAACTTTAATTAGGAAGAACATATTTCCGTTGATTTTTTAATTTCTAAATGCCTGGTGACTTTTTTGATACCTCACTGTACGTGAGCATTATAATAATTGGATGTCAAAAGAAGTACATGATTTAACCCCTTCTGATAGAATCCGTAAACCTTCTTATTCTTTAGTATGTTCTTGGGTTAAAAATGCATGGGAAAAAGTGATGTATATTTAATCAGAAAATCATTTAAATGCTGTGTAAAAACTGATGGTACAGAAGACAACCTTTTATTTGATTATGAAGTATTGGTTGATTCAGATGATCATTTATTTGAAGAAGAAGCCGATAATGAATTTAGTGATGATATTTACAATTCATGAATTTCATTAATGATAGTAAAGAAATTTTTTTTTTTTTGGTTAATATGTATTTAATTGTAATTATCGTTTTTGCGATAAATAAATTACAACTTCCGAATATGATATCCGGGTATTTTATAAAATTTTGGGTCCAAAATCTTGTGGGTTGCACGGGGGATGGTGCTCTACGGTAACGTAGTTCGATCAACATGATTGTCAAATTTACTGTTTTATTAAATGTGAAGATTCGCATAAAATAATATTAATCATCAAGTAGATTAATAATATAATCAATGAGGTTCTCTTTGATTTGTACTTTTCTAATCTTAACCCTTAAGGACAAAACATTCTTATAGTTATTTCGAGATATTTTCAATTCATTAAGTCAACTATTAATAATGGTACTTCACGGAATATAAATAATTTATTTCAAGAACTTAACAATTCAAAAAATTAATCCTACGAACTTTAATAATAAATTAAATGCCTAAACAATTCACGTGTTGAAATAAACTGAATTAATCGACAGTTATCATCTTACGTCTTCGATGTTTAACTCTGTTACTAGAATCCGAATTAGGAACCTCAAGCATCAAAAGATGCCAATATGCTTCTATCACCTAAAAAAAGAAATAAGAGAGGGGAAATAATGATAAATTGAATTCGAATTTTTAATTCCAATAAAAATGAAGGTCATAAATATTTAATAATTCTCACCAGATCCTTCATCCCATCTACTGCCATTATTAAAGGATTTCCTTCAACTTTTTCGAAAATATATTGTTTTTTCATTACAGGAAATCGAACACATTTCAATAAGGAATGAAGCGCTGCAAATCTATCACCACACCAAGGCTTGGGAAATTTATTAGAATCATCGATTTATATATCCGCTAGTTCATTATTTAATTCATGAAGATTTTTAATATTTTCAATACCATTCTCAACAATTTGCATATCATTCACAGCATCTTCAAAATTTTCAGGAAGTTCTGATGGCATTGATGCAGATGTTGAATTTGAAGATGATGGTGGTAAAACCTTTTCAACCTGAGTATTTGTAGAATTTCGTGTCGATGATGTATCTGAATCTAAAGAGTACGAATAATTTGCCCAACGAACAACCAGTTCATAAATTTTCTCTTCGGAATTCACATTTGCTTCATCATTTTCGAGTGCGAGTCGCAAAATATTTGGATCGGCGTGTAAAGTAGATGGATCCTCCAAAAGATAATCAAATTTGATGCAACAAAATTACAAGTTGTTGATGTTTTAGCACAAGAATAATTTTCTTTTTAAAAGAATTTTTTATAAACAAGTATAATAAGAATCGTAAAATTTCCAAAAAAAAAAAAAAAATTTCAAATAAACAAAAATTCTCGTAAGATAATATATTTACCGGCAATAGCCCAAATTCCCCATACATTATCAACGTTCAATTCTAAACGGAAATATCGTAAACATTCCTCTCGTACAGGGAAAATTTCAAACTTATCAGCCAATACCAATAAATTTTCCGCGTCATATAAAGACGTAATATTTACATTAAAAGTATATATGAATGTTAACAAAGCAAGGAACGCGGAATGATTTGTTTGACATAATTTAATTTTATCCTCCTCTTTCTCATTCGTTAACATAGATTCAAATACTGGAGAGGAACTTGCTAAGATTCCTTTATGAGCATAGAATAATTTCTCACGTGAATTATCAAAAAGTGACATCTGAAAATCGTGGCGAATTTACTAGTTTATCAAATAGTGGTGAATCTAAAATAGATTCTTGAATCTCAAATTTTACACACAAAGATATTGTATCGTTACTAATGAACCTATGAAATAAATTTTCAGAAATTTAAAATAATAAAATTAAAATTAAATTCCTTTTCAAACAAAAACGATATGAGATTGTAATGAGCTGTCCATTTCATCTAATGTCATGAGATTTTCTTCACCCCATGTGGCAGTGATGGCCAGTGACCCAAATGACCTGAAATGACTCAAATGACTAGTCACGAGTCATTTGGGTCATTTTGGCACCAAATGACAAATGACACGGTCATTTCCTGAATCACACATTTTATGTACAAATCAGGTAATTACATAGTTCGATGATCCTTAACATATTTATTTGCTTTAAAAAAAAAAATAAAATTATTTAAAAAAAAAATGCTTACCTCTCTTTGTAGATACCGAAATCCTTCTGGAAATCCGAGAATTCTGGATTGAAGGATGAAGGTAAGTTGTTATTTTTTTTCTTTTAAAAAAATGGTAAAAAAATTTATTGATGTTTCTTACCTCTTTGAAGGTGCCGAAGTTTGGAATCCTGGATTAATTATATAAGGTAA